ACACTCAGCCAAAGGGGTGCCTAGGAAGAGATTTAGAAAACAGTTTGGGAAATGGACATTTATATAAGAGCTTCAAGGCAAGACATATTTTGAGAAATGCAATGGGCTATTTCACTGAGAACTTGTTATTATTGTCACTCAGCATGGTTTGTGTCAGGCCTGACTCCATAACCCTCCCAATGAAAACATCCTGAAACAATTTATAAAGTTCTCAGTACTAAATTTCTCACTCTCTAATGTGTAAATAGATGAATCTTTTCATTGAGTAGTTGCTTCCTTTTCTCAGTGGGAAGATGAAAGTAAATAAAAGTAAATGCCCAGAGTCAGTGCAGAGAAGCGGCAGGATGGGAACCTAAGTCCTTTTTACTAACTTTAACTTCATTGATCTTTCCAGTGCCCGAGACTTAGCAGAATTTCTCCCCAACTTGTTTGTCTGTTTTCAGGCTTGAGAAACGGAATGTGAAAAGTAGATATTCTATTCTTAAAAAAACAAATAGTTATAATATAGTAAAACTTTTAGGTTCTCTTATAATTGTAACTTCAGAGTCTGGTGAAATATATGAGTTGTGGTTCTCTATAGAGACAGAAATCATAGAGATTTTAATGTGAAAGTCCCTATCTCCAAAGCAAGTGACTCTCACTGGGATGTGGTGGGGGGGGGGGGGGAATGGGAGGTCCTGTGACCTTGATTGAGGCAGCTGCCAGGTTAATCCACCAAATAGGAAGACATTTCTCTGGAAAGTCTTGTGCCCTGAATAGCTCCCATTAAACAGCTTGGACAAATTCTTCCACACAAGGCTGCTAACCCTCATTAGGAAGGGAGGAAGGGAAACAGGGGTTATCTTTCACTGTTGCTGCTCCCACTTCTAGAAAAATCACACTGCCACATGTATTCCCGATAAAATACTTAATTGTCCGCGGGTATCGATGATGGGAGTGGTCCCTGTGTTAACACCTGGGTGTAATTTGCATGAAAGTTGTGTAGGAAGAGGAAGGGCAATGGAGGGAAGCAGGTTGGACCCAGAAATGGCCACAACAAGGCATGCCTGGGAGATGAGGCTCACAGAGACTGCTTTCCAAGGACAGCTGACCTGCTTTCTTCCCACCTTATTATTGCCCTGCTGTCTAAGATTGACTAGGGTGGGATGTCACTTTTGCAAAATAAATTTAAAAATTAACACATGAAGTAGATCAAATGTTATTTCCCCCAAACTCTCTTTGCATTGAGGGAGCGTACAGCCTAGAAAGGTGGAGACTTAGAGGGCAATTTTGTAGTTCATGCACAGGGGCTTTGCACAATGTGACCTGTGACCTCTTTCACAGGGGTTCCTGGGAGAAATCTGATGTTAACAGGGCTCAAAGTGCATCCTGCAGAAGAATCTCTCTTCTGTGAGATTCAGTTTTTCCACAAGGCTGAACCCAAACCTTGTTGAGAAAAAAAAAAATTTTTTTTTCAAGAATGAAGGCAGGGAAGACAACAGTGCTCCTCTGATCCAACAAAAAGCAAAATCCCAGTTCGCCACTGGTGGAGACTGCTGATGTCTAGTTTTTGCCATGACCAGTTTCTAACACATAATCTGCCTATATGATTAGGTGAAGAGAGAAGGTAAACAGGTTAAAGTAGTGGGTGCCTGGGTGGTTTGGTGAGTTGAGCATCCGACTTCAGCTCAGGTCATGATCTCGCGGTTCGTGGGTTTGCGCCCTGCATCAGGCTCTGTGCTGACAGCTCAGAGCTCAGAGCCTGCTTCAGGTTCTGTGTCTCCCTCTCTCTTTGCCCCTTCCCCTCTAATGCTCTGTCTCTCTGTCTCTCAAAAATAAATAAACATTAAAATAAACAGGATAAAGTAGAGATTATATGGTATCAGAAATCACAGGCAGCAAAAGCAAGGGCAGGTTTCACTATGTGGATGGCTATGAAGAAAGCATGTGGGAACAGAACATTTGCCTTCTTAAAAGTTTGAAGGTGACTGAAGTGAGTTCACAAATCAGCAAGTGGGCCTGAGATGCTTCTGAGATTCTAAGGCAACATTATTCCCTGACATAATAAAGAAAGTTGAGACCATCAGTGAAATCAAGAACTTTTGTATCGCATCCTAAGTATCCAGGGAACGACTAATGATAAAGTGTGAAATTCCAATAAGCTAACTTTGCATTGAACAAATACTAGTCTAGTGAGTTGGATTCTGAGGTGTTGAAAGTAAATCAGGCCGGCAAAAAATTCACAGAGGCCAGCAATATCTGATACTATGGTGAGATCTCTATCAACCTGTCCATATTCTTTGCAGTACTGAATGTCAATCACCCTACTCCACTGCTCTCCCATCTGCCTCACCCTTATCTTGCAGGCATGTGAATGTGAAGGTGCACAACATGGGCTCAGCGGATGGCAGACGAGAAGCATGACTCTCCCCCTGCAGCCTCTGAGACGCATTACAAAATGTATGGCAACAAAGCCCCAAACCTGAATTCTCAGAATGTAAACTGAACTCTTCAGACAATTATTCAGATCCACAATTATTCAGGATATTCCAATAAAATATGGAGTTTTCTCTCTCTCCATTTGCCCCACTGAGTCCATGGCCAATACTTCTACCCACTGCTCTTCACTGCAAATAATGAGCAGACTATAAAGACACTAGGAACATTCTAGGGTACAAGGTGTCTGGCTATTAGACATTGGGGGCAGATCCTACTCACACATAGTTGCAGACATGACAGGGACCCATGGAGATCCTACTGTCATTGCTGAACAGACAGCTAATGAGGCAGAAAGGAGCTATGATGGGAGCTTCCAGAAGAGTCGATGTCAACGCAGGAAAAAGTCAATGAGCCAGAAATAGCTGAGGGCTTTCAGTACCAGTCACCCTGAATTGCTTTTGAGCTACAGGCACAGGGAGCTGGGCATGAGGTCCAGCAGGGTCATTTACTCAAAAGCATGTGAGGTTTGAATCTTTAAATATTGTTAAGCTGATAATATTCAAAAGGCTATTAAAAGAGTAAGATGTTCATCCCTAAGCAAATCTTATAACAGTAATTAAGAAAATGCTTGACTTTGAGAATGGTGTCTCAAAAATAAAGGGTGTTGGCTTCATGACTCTTCTTTGGTTCTCATTCCTTGTGTCTGGTAGATGAACATTGCTCCTTCTGCTTTTTATTCATTCAGATCTGACCTGGCTGAAATCCCCTTGATGTTGCTGCACCCAGGATATCTTTCAGAGATCTCTCTCAGGAAAGACTGTAGAGGTTTCAAAGAGACTGAGAAGTCACCTGGCCCACATTCCCACCAGTGCCAAGAATTTCCTATGTATCTTTGACAGGAGTCATCCGGCTGCCTCCTGGGTGCCTCTGATGTAAGCAAATGAAATGAGGTTTCTTAATCTGTGGAAACCCTGAATATTCCTGAACAAGTCCTTTGCTGGTCCTCCCTCTACTTTAAAAGCCGTGAATCCTCATGGCATTATTGACAACTTTTGAAACTGGCCTGTCCTAATGGCCATTTTGGAGGGTCCACTTATACTGGATTACTGAATAATTGCCCACTGAGTCTCTATTCTGAGGATTTGCCCCTCCATGCAGGTTTAGATAATGGAGCAATTACCCCTCCGGAAGTCACCTTGAGATGATTACATTGTAGAGAGTTTGAAGCCATTACTATTATCTAGAACTTGGTTCAAATTTTTAGATGGCTGAACCTCAAAGTTGGGGAGAAATTTATCTCTGAGCCTATAGAGTAGGGACATTATGGAAGAAACTATATGAGATGTTAGTTAAGGGAAAAGAAAATATTTCCTACCCATTAAAGTAAAAACCAAGCACTGAATCTGACGCCAGATGTAGTGAAGTATAAGAAAAGCCAAAAGTGCTAGGCAGATTGCTAACTCCTGTGAGAAAACAAGAAGAAAGCTTCACTGATATTATCACAAATAATATTTTTCAACATCATTTAGATGGATTTTGCATTTTGGTTTGGAGCCCTATTATATGCTCCTATTATGGGGTATTTCACACGGTTTTCAGAAAACAGCTCTTCCTGACTCAACTTCCACTAAATAGATAAGAAAGTTAATTAACTTTCTAGAAATAAAATTCCCATAAATTTTCTAGAAAACATTATACTCCATTTTTTAACCTAAAAACTACCTCAAGATGTTTCCTCATACCAATTATTTTTTGTCATTTTTCATTTGTGAAAATAAATATATGACACAAAAGCATGTTACTTTTAGTTTTCTAAACATAATTTCCTTTTATTATCTCATGAAATTAAGGTTTACTTAAGCAGATAGTCAAGACAATGAGTACTTTTCTGATTTTTGAAAATTGCTGTTTGTTGTTCATAATCACCTGATGACCCAGGAGCATGGAAACAGAGTATTTCTTTCACATCCCTTGTCTGAGCAACACTCACATCCACACATCATTTAAGAATGTTCATGGGTACGGAGCAACCATGAGCATCCTTCCTTGTAAAGAAATTGTAGAATATTTCTTCTGTGGAATCTTTGAGCCATGCAAACATTAGGAGTTTCTTAACTCCTTATAAGAAAAAGACATGGCCTTCAAAGTATATTATATTAAAAAAAAAAAAAAGTATTAAGTGACCCTTAAAACCCCAAAAGTAGGAAAACCTGTGCTTTTCTGCTCCCAGCAGCACATGTTTAGGAAGCACTGGTTTAATCAAGCAAGACTATCTTTGTCTAGCCATAGCCAACACACTCCCAGAATCCATGAATTAACCAGAGGTTATTTTCCAGAGCAGACTTAGAACTCCGTTCAAAGGTGCTCCTTCAGGGTTGCTGGGAATGACACAAAAGCAGGTGATTAGTGTTTAGAAGCCCAAGGAGGACACAAAAGGCTGAGCAAGGGCAAGTGGCCTTTGCGAAGGGGAACCAGTCACTGCAGACAAAGCAGCTTTAAACTGCATGCTTAAGGGCCAGGCTTGCGTGGACCACCTCCCTGGGGAACCAGGTGTGAGGTCACCACATATGGGTAGAGTGAAGTCAATTTTTTTTTCTGTTTTGTTTTACAAGGCTTAAAAAACAAACCAAAATTGGGGAATGAGTTGTTTCTGTGTTTTTCCCAAGGCCATGGTTTCTTTCTGCCCCTTTGGAAGCCCTTCTTTCTTGCTGTGATTCCAGCAGGACGCTAGATGGCAGGGGGAAGCATTCAGACACAAGAGCATCAACACTAACCTGAGAAGTAGCTGCTGGTGAACTAGTTTCCTTACCACTCACTGCTGCCCTCTCACTGGCTGCAGCTTCTGCCACTTCTGCCTTCTGCACATTCGAATCCTCAGAACCAGGAGGCCCTATGTGTCCCAGACTTTCGCTCCCTGGGGTGGAAGGTGGGTTGGTGGTGGCTTTCCGGGTTTGGCCTTTATACCAACTAGGGTAAAACAAGGGATCCGCAGTGTCCGTTGCTGCAGGGACTGGAGTTTCAGACTCTGTGGTCTGCTGAGAGCCAGTGGGCACAACCTCCCCCTTAATCAGGACAGATAAATTCAAAAGTAAAAAAAAAGAAGAAGAAGAAGAAAATGCAGTTGATTTTAGTTCCCTTTGGGTTTGAAAACTGTGAGCTCTCTGTGCAGTGTCTGATTTAGCGCATGTTTTAGTTCATCCCACCCTCTGCAAGTGCTAAGGGAAGGAAAGATGATAGCACTCCTCTCTCTGGGCACCTGCATGTGCCTTCTCTTTTCTGGGCTTGTCCTTCCCTAGATGGCAGCCTGGGCAGAAAGACAGTGGACGACTAAAATGAAGGTTGCTTATAAAATATCAGATATAGGAGAAAGGTCAAATTATTGGCCACGATTAATTTTTTTACATTCTTGGTGGGCTCCCCAAACCTCTTTCCTAAAATCCCAGATTGGTCTTATTGATCAAATCCAAGTCTTGTTAAGTTACCACACCTCTTTCAAATTCAGTGCAATTTGATTTCAAGATTCTAGGAACCATTAACAGTATTTCAGTCTGGTTTCCTATGGAGACAGAGCATAGAATATAATTCTGTAATTCAGAGTTTCCTCTCTGAGGTTTTGTTTCTATAGATAATCTCAATCCATTTTGAAAGCAGGTGCAAAACCAGGATTCCTTTTTGATGAATCTACATTGTCCACAAACTCCATAGGTTGAGACCTCTCTGCTGAAGGTGCCATGAAGTCAGCACAAAGACTTGAAAACTGGACAGTGACATCTTAGAAGCTAAGAGTCAGCCAATCAGATACAGAATTTGGGATGAGTTATCTCCTAAGAAAATTTTAAAACAATTCTATTAACACATAATCTCATCAAATGACAGATACATAGAAAACTAGATGGCATTTGTTTGCCCACTTAATGAAAGATATGGTTATATTTCAGGGTAGGTGATAGGGACATAAACTAACATGGCTTCTCTGTTTACTTCCTTTTTTATCTACAGAAAATTCAAAGTTCTGAAGGGACATTCATTTTTATTTCTCACCTTAGATTATTTATTACTCTGTACTCCATCTCTGTATCCAGAGCAGACCCAATCTGCGTGACATGGCTGTGAACTAACATGTTATACACATACCCCTCCCCCATGCACACACAATTTCCAAAGATTGCCTCAGATTCTAGTGGGAAAATTGTGTTAAACTAGGTCTTGCCAACCAGTTATAATAACACCAAACCTGTTGAATCATCTAGAGGACTTTTCTCCCTGACACTGCCTGTGCTGAATTCTTTGGTTTTCCAGATACAAATGTCTGGCCTTGTATGACCTTTCTCTTAAGGCAGAATAAATTGTTTAGCCTATTCAGCAAGGACACACCTGTGAATCCTGTAGGAAGGCATTTGTGAACAATTACCTGTGTCCCTGGGGCATCTGTGGCAGGTGGGAGGGCCGGAGGTGGCTCCGGGGAGGAAACTGGAAGCGCCCCTGGGGCAGCCTGGAGCTCTGAGGCCAGCTGAGAGGGCTCCGAGGCTTTCTCTGGACTTTCATCCTCTCCTGAGGACTCTGTTCGAACATTTTCTACCTCTTCCACTTCTACTTGCTCTCTGTCTTCTCCTCCTTCTTCTCCTTCTCCTCCTCCTTCTTCTTCTCCTTCTTCTTCTTCTTCTTCTTCTTCTTCATCTTCATCTTCTGGTAAGGTAACGTGTTTTTAAAATCATTATAACTACCACTGCAGCTATGATATCAATTAATGGCCAGTACTTCCAGCCCAGATTAAGGTCAGGGCTAGGGAAATCTTCTCCATCAGATACTGGACTGTGGCCCAAGTATGTCATGCTGGGGCTTGTGCTTCTAGTTAAATGTGGGTAGGAGAAATGTGATGATGGGCCCAATCATCACCATCCTCCTTGTTTCCCTCTCCAGTACAAAGTGCGTCTTCAGTACCACTGTGCAGAGCCTGGTCACATTTATATCATGCTCTGTCACATCTGCAAGCTCCTGGAGGACTGGGATTGTCACTAACGTATCTCTGCCAAATTAAATGGAAATGCAACTCTCTTCCCTATCTCAGAACGCATACATTACCCTTGTCTTCTTTTACTTTCTTACCTCCTCTGTTCAGTGAACGCTGACTTTTGCCACAGTTTATACCATGAGTCTTTTCCTAACACATTGATCTTAATATTCCCTCAGGCAATATTAAGGAGAGACAATATTAAGTAATTATTTTAGGAAGATTCATCTTGAAGATTTGCTTCTGAAGTTACATCTGTACACACTAATACAGCTTCATGGCATTATTAGAGGTCTAGCCAAGGAGTCTTGTGACCTAGATGGGCTAGGATGAATCAAGACAATCAAAGTTTTGATCAGCTCCAAGGTAATTGTCCTCTTTTTAATTAGTTCATGAGGACAAATTTCCAGGAGGGTCTCTGGACCACATGGTAGGGGTGCATTTATAACTCATGAAATATAGCTGGTCACATAGAGCCAGTTTTATTTCCAGATTTTTTTTATTCTATGACTCATTACTATTCTTGCCCTCTGATGTTTGATTAAGTGGATGTGCTACAATATCTATCCAAATGTCATCTACATTTTATTTTTATCTCATCCTTAACCTTGCACTTCATGATACTTCACATCATTGTAGTCAATACCTTGTGTAGGGTTGATGTTGAGACATCATCATCACTATCAATTATTAAGTATTTGACTACCCAGAGTCAAATGCCCAGTAATGGCATTATAATAGGCACTGTGATGTGCAAAGCCAAATAAACACTGTCAACCAACTCTATGAATCTGTAATGAAATGGAGTTTCACATTGGATTATGATCCTTGTATAATTGTCGACATCCATTCTGGAGGTGATTCTGAATCCCCCTTCTCTCCTGCTGAATCCATCTGCAGCTTTCACACACCTGCAACTTTGGCCAAATGGTCACAAGAATAACAAACCTCTGTAAAAATCAATTTCGCGTATTATTTTTTCTTCTCTATTGAGGTTGACTGTGAAGTGGTTCATGTTCTCATAACCATGTTCTATTTTCTCCATCTGAAATGCCTTCGATGCCTCAGAAATTCTGCAACAAAGACAAGTTGCCACTTTTTGCCACCGTTTAACATTTGATAGCCTTGGGTAAAAATGAAAAGTATGCATTTTTCCATAAAATGAAAATTACTTACTTTTGTAACAGGGTTTTGGCATTCTGTGAAAGCAAACAAAAGACAGACCTACTTAAATTCTTTTCATCAAAGACTTTATTCTTTCCTCCGCTGACTCTGAAAATCTCAGAGCTTAGTTTCTAAATGCCATGAATAACTGCTCTTTTATACCGGAACCCTCTTATATTTAAGCGATATCATGGTCCCTTAAATATATGCTTATGAAATTGTTTAAACAGATGGAGACATGAACACATAATGAGCTTATAGTTTAGTTGGTAAAATAAATCAAAATGCTGTGTGCATAAAATAACAAAAATATGATGACAACTACTTCTCCAGCACCCACCTTCTTGGTTAGTTCCATCAGGTACTGAAAGAATACTTACCTGCAGAAACACTGCCATTTCTGGCTCATCCATGAACTGGATTCCTGATTCAACCAACTTTGACACATTTTCCAAGTGATCAGAATACTTTTTGATCAGAGCACGGACACGTTCCAGTTTCTCCTCTTGGGTTCGGGTAATGACTTGGGTCATCTCATTCTTCCTTTCCTCCAGGATGCCATACAGGTAATCAAACTTCTCACAAAGTTCCTGTTTCTGTTTTTTACAGCATTCCTGTTAGTTGAAGTTAGCTCATGTTAGAAAGTGTTTAAAAGAGTGCCTATTTGGAGAAATCACCTTGGGGTGCCTTGGTGGCTCAGTCGATTAAGCAACTGCCTCTTGATTTTGGCTCAGGTCATGATCTCATGGTTCGTGAGTTCGAGCCCTTTTGTTGGGCCCTGTGCTGATAGCACAGAGCCTGCTTGGGATGCTCTCTCTCCCTTTTTCTCTGCCCACCCTTCTCTCTCTCAAAAATAAATAAATATTTTTTAAAAATCACCTGGATACTTTGGGAGATAAATTTACTTATACAGTATATTTTTTCTTTTCCTTGAAGTTGTCCTTTGGGTATAGATTCCCATTGTGCTGATGTTTTGAAAATCTCACTTTGATACTCAGACAATCTAAAATCAACCAAATTGACTAAATGGACCAATGAATTTTCAATATGTTCTATGTAAATGGGGAATTTCATAGAAATTAAAACAGTTTTTTAAAAAAATACATATATATTGGTTATATATATATATATATATAACCTTATATATATATAATGTTATATATATATATAAGGTTATATATATATATATATATGGTTATATATATATAAAATATAAGGCTTATATTTTGCTTTAGAGTGAGTGTGTGTATATGTGTGTGTATAAGGAAAAACTATGGTACTTCCTGATTTGTACCCTTCAGTCTCTCTCTGCTCCACTTATATTGCTGCTGTTCTAGTTTCAATCTTCCCTTGGAGATTCGGAAGCTTCCCACCAGCCTCTGCATCTGGAATTCCCTCCTTCAAGCAAACTCATACACTACAAACAAATTCATTTTCCTGGAGTACATTTATCTGGGGAATAGTGTTTTTCTCTGACTAATCGTTGTCCAGAGAATAATATTTAAACTTCATAACTGGCTTTCCAGCTTCTCCATGACCCGGTTCCAACTTTCCTTCATAACATTGCACTGTTCTTCATCACATACCCTGTGTCCAGCAAAAACGAACCGCTCATTTTCTTTGCTCATCATCATCCCTCTGTATAGAATGTTCTTTCCCAATTCATAGTTGCAAACTCTAAGTAATCTTAAAGACATGGTTGAAATACCACTTCTTCCATAAAACTGTCTTTGATCTCAATGACTGAATGCCGTCTTTTAATTCTTCTGAAATCCCATAATAGTTACCACTTATGCCATACACCTGTATTCACCTGGTCCTCTATTTATCCAATACTGTCTAAGACAGAGAAATATGGGATCTGGTCTTTGATTCCTGGAGAGAAAGGCTGTATGGGAATTCAAACTTGTGCATTTGCATTGTGTGCTGGAAGCACCTCCAATACCATCTAGCTCCCTTCTCTCTGAGTCCATGTTTAAAACATCATTAACTTTCCAGATGGCCTGGTCATTGTCCTTTTGCTTTTTCAAGTTCCAGTAAGCTTGTTATGTATACATGCCAGTATCATTGGACCTGACCATCTCTGTGTCCAGGAACTTTATAGCTAACAGCAAGTTTTGAGACCTGATGACCCAACATAGCTTTCCTGTCTGGTGGGGGCTTCTTGGGAATGCAGCCAATTGATTTGACATCTCTGAACTTTGTGTAACCCTTATTACATGTTCTTTCATTTTAGTAAACATTGGTCTCTTAGATGTCAAGTATCACTTTCTTCTTTCACATGAGTTTCTTAAATATCTAAAGTATAGTCTCTTTAAGGATAGAATCTGAGTCTCTCTGAGACACATACCACTTCGGACAATAGATGTTCAGTATATATTGTTGAACAGGTTTTTTAAAACTGTGTTTTTAAAAATGTGTTTCATTTCTCCACAATTTTTCTACTATTCTCAGAGTAAGGGAAAAAATGGATAACCTAAAGCAAATTGTTGATTATGAAGATATTCCACAAACTAACAAGAAATAACACCCCTCACTCCACTGCCTCCTTTGGAACACAATTCTCATCACATTTTCTGACCAATAATAAAGCATGATGGAGATCCAATGATTCTAACCACTTTAATAGTAATTACTGGTTAATGCTATCATCCCGCATCCATTCATTCATTTAGCAATCGGTTCTTAAGCATGTCATTTGTGTCAAGCACTATGCAAGGTTCTGGGGACCCAACAATGAACTAAAGCATAATTCCTATTCTTAAGGAGCTCAGGTTCACTGAATGAGAAAGACTATGGGCCAATAATACAATAATAACCTAGTAGGCTGAATAATTTAAATATCTTAGAGCTTTATACCAGGTTTTATAGAAGTATGTGGATGGGGGCCATTCAAAGGGAGCTGGGGTGGGTGGGTGGCTCAGGAAAAGCTTCCTAGTGGAAGTAATGCCTGACTAAAGGAAGAGCAGGAACAGAGGAGGTTGGAGGAGGGGATGAAAATCCATGGAGCGCCTTGGCAGTGGTCAAAGTAATAGTACTAGGGTCCATACAGCATGTCCAGACATGGAAATTGCTGGGCTTGCCAAATTTGCGTCTATTTCCAGCCCTTTAGCATGAGATCTGGACTATTACGAGGCCTCAGAACTGAAGCCAATTAGTAGCTTCCCAATCAAACTTTCTTTCACTGGACTGCTTTCTGTTCTAAGCTTACAGGCAAACTTGAGCCCACTGCATTCCTGAAATATGTCTCTTTGACATTCAGAAGCTCTACTGTTTACTGCAAACATATGATGGTTTCTAGCTTATGAATTGTGCACTTGAAACATATATACTGAGTATTAAGATGTGATACTGGTACGATGTCTTTGTTTCTCAAACGTTTTCTTGTAAGCCAAATTATTTATGAGACTGATGTCATGTGTCATGGCTAGTGTTTGATTTAGTGGTTTAAGTGAAATAGCCACTTTATTTATACATTATTTTCAACTCCAAGTATTATTTTATTTACATTCTGGTTTTCTATTGATTTGTACTATATTGAATCTATCATTTTAATAGCATCTATTATTTACTTATTTACAGTATAGGAAATTCTATCCTATGCATGGCATATGCTTGATTATCATTATTATTATTATTATTATTATTATTATTATATGACTACATACTGTATAAAGCACTTATAATATTAAATGACATATTATAGGTACTATATCAGTGCTTATTAAATTTAGATCCAATTTTCCTTGATTTGAGGGAGGGGTCAACTTGGCAGAGAAGTAGGGGGATCCATACTTCCCAGGTCTCTCAAACAAAGAAGTGCTGAAGCCAATTTTCCTTGATTTGAATTATTTAATTGTGGAACTTTGAAGCTGCATGGAATATCAGAAGTAACCTGCTCCAAACCAATCATTTCACTCATGTGGAAACTGAAACCCAGCAGAGTTAAATCACTTTCTCAAGGCATTCTGCCATTTATTGTTAGTTCCTGGCCTATAGCCAAAGACTTTGAACTCCTGGGTCATTGTTACTCCTACCACACCTTCTGTGAAATACTTGAAAGTAACTTGAAAAAAATTTTATGTGAAGTACTGTGAACTGAATATATGTCTTTTAACAAATCTACTCTGTAGTAAGTAGGTTTTTAAAGATGAGAAAACTCCAATTGTTTCAGAATTATATTCATTAGTTCATTCTTTCAGCAAAATTCACTAATTACTATGTACCAGGCATTAGAAGATCTGAAAACCTGCCGTAGTTTTCCAGTGTTCATAAGAAGGGTAGAAAAATTATTATATTTTCTAATCTCTAATTTAAAAAAAACCTTAACTTCTTTTTTTTCTTCATTAATGTGCCTTTAGTATAATTCTGTGTAAAATATGCTAAGAGTCAGACAAATCGGTTTCTGAAATAGAGAAAGTATGCTTCTTTCTTGGAATTATGAAACTAGTACTTACAGACTTTTAGAAATGAACTTGAGATGTTCAGGTTAACCTAATGTCGGATTAAAATGAGAAATAATTCCCTGAAATTAAAATTCTTCTATTTTTTTTTATTCTCTCTGAGGTAGAAGCAATACATGAAGACTAAGGTGGGCACCCTTCCATCTTTCTGGACTACAAGACCTTCAAAATGCTGTGAAGGTCAGTTAACAACAAACGCCTCAGCTTATCAACTCCCTCCTCCGAGGTAATTAGGGAACAAGTATATGCTATGAAAGAAAAATATGCTCTTAGAGGCCAGCTCACTAGTGAGTGATTACTCTGAATTTCAGTACCTACTGTGCCTTTGTAAATGTGGACCTGAAATGCTTTCAACAGTGACTTTCCAGTAACCTGAAAAATGGAATGGGAAAAACGTGGACTTCTGCATTATCAAAATGTCTGCAGGTAGCACACTTTAAAGGATGACTGTTACCTGCAAAAGCGTGATAGCAACCGTCTTTATCTCTTCTCCACAAAAACTTCCTCACCTCAAAGATTTCTTTTTGCTTTTAATGTTCTATTTTACTTATTTCAGTAAAAAGGCTGGGTTAAAAAAAAGTCTTCAGTAAAAATTCTTGGCTCTGTACCTTCTCCCTCCCCCAACATCTCTGGATAGTAATTGAATCAAGATACATACTTTTTAAACTTTCAAGTTTATGTTTTCAAATATTCTCCATTTTCTTCCTTTTGATATCTGTGGTTCCTATGTCCTGTGTGTGTGTGTGTGTGTGTGTGTACACATGCACATGTGCATGCATGCATACCTGGGTGAGTGTGTTTAGCAACTGAAGTAACTTCCATCATGAATGCCCTAGGCATTGGCCTCCAAGCATATTCTGATGCATAGCCTCCAGCTGCAACATGACCTACCTCCTGGGTCTGCCAGGACAGTTATATGTATTGGCTTCTTAGAAGAACAAAATAAAAGTTGTCCGTGATCCTTGAATGAAAATAAAATCCATCCCATCTCTAAGGTGAACCCAGTATGGATGCAATATACCAAAAAGGGGTGATTTTATAAAGGGAAAACTATGCTGCCCATATTAAAAAGGCAAAATGATGACAGGTAGAATATCTGTTTCTAACCAATGTCATAATATTTGGCTAAAAAGAAAAAAATCAAGTAATCA